CGACGGCTCGTTTAACAACATGGTTAATTTAGAGAGACTTGTCTTGGACCGCAACTACTTCGTCTCTCTTCCTAACACCATTGGTAACTTGAGAAGGCTAGAGCATTTTAGCATAGCCCATAATTCAGTGGGCGAGCTGCCTCCAGAAATTGGATGTTTAAACGAACTGAGAATACTGGATGTCAGAGGGAACAATATTAGGAAGTTGCCGATGGAAATATGGTGGGCGAACAAGCTGGAGACGCTTAATGCCTCGTCAAATGTGCTGGACAATTTCCCGAAACCCGCTTCACGCCCACCCCAAATGCCCGGGGAATCTTCAGGATCGCCTGCTCCTAGCAGCAAGCCGCCTACCGGACTTCTATCCCAGACGTCCAGCTCTGAAGATCTTCTCGGTGATAGATCTCGCCAGCCAAGCCAAGCATCGAGCACATTGCTGAGTGTCGGTCCTTCACCCGTTCCTTCTGGCTCGGACCGAAAGAGCTCTGTTGTCTCAGTATACGGAAAAGGAGGGCGGAAAACATCTGTCCTTTCGCGAACCACAACGGCCAGCAGTAATGTTAACGGGTCCGTGACTCCTGCGGCCGGTTCGAGAAAAGATTCGGGACTTTCTAGTCGGTTGACTAACACCTTTGCGGGTTCATTGAGAAACCTATGTCTCGCTGACAACCAGCTTGACGACGAGGTGTTTGAACAGATCACACTGCTGTCCGAATTGCGCGTTCTTAATTTATCCTATAACGACCTAAACGACATGCCACAGCGGTGTATCAAGAATTGGCCCCAACTCGTAGAACTTTATCTGTCAGGCAATGATTTGACAAGTTTGCCGGTTGATGATCTAGAGGAATACAGCTTGCTTCAGGTGCTTCACATTAACAATAACAAATTCACAAACCTGCCCGCAGATATTTCCCGCGCCAAAAAGCTGGCTGTGTTGGATTGCGGAAACAATTCTCTCAAGTACAATATCTCAAACGTGCCATACGATTGGAATTGGAACCTAAACCCAAATTTGCGATTCCTCAACTTGTCAGGGAACAAACGACTGGAAATCAAGCAGACAAACGTTGGCCCAGGGTCACAAAACCGCGAGCAATATACCGATTTTAGTCGGTTGACGAACCTTCGCGTGCTTGGATTGATGGATGTCACCCTTACTCAACCAAGTATCCCAGACCAGAGCGAGGATCGTCGTGTCAGAACTTCTGGTTCATTAGCTGGCCATCTGCCATACGGTATGGCTGATACACTGGGTAAAAGCGAGCACCTATCGACCATTGATCTAGTCGTCCCACGATTCAACTCCTCAGATTCAGAGACGCTCTTAGGTTTGTTCGACGGACAAGCGTTATCTAGCGGTGGCTCTAAGATCGCCAAGTACCTTCACGAGAATTTTGGTCATATCTTTTCAATGGAGCTGAAGGCTCTGAAGACACGCCAAAACGAGACACCTGTCGATGCGCTTAGACGTGCGTTCCTTGCCCTCAATAAAGACCTCGTCACCGTAGCAAATGAGCATAGCGAAAAGAGGCCGTTAATGTCGCATCGTGGTTCGTCGGCGTCTGTTGTTCTCAGCAAGGAAGACCTCAATTCCGGTGGGGTTGCCACGGTGGCGTACCTGCAAGCCCAAGAGCTATATGTTGCCAATGTCGGCGATGCGCAAGCAATGCTCATCCAATCCGACGGCGTGCATAAAATCCTCACGCGGAAACATGACCCCGCAGAGCCTAGTGAGCGTCAACGAATACGTGATGCTGGTGGTTGGGTGTCGCGCCAGGGGAAGTTGAACGATCTGCTTGAAGTCTCTCGCGCCTTCGGTTATATCGACTTAATGCCGGCCGTACAAGCAGCACCTCATATTCTTCAAATACCAATCACGCCGCAGGATGAGACAATATTAATCGCGACAAAAGAGTTATGGCAGTATCTCACTCCCGGCTTAGTTGTTGACGTTACCCGGTCGGAGCGAGGTGACCTTATGCGTGCTGCGCATAAGCTACGAGATCTTGCCATAGCGTACGGTGCGACTGGGAAAATCATGGTCATGATGATCAGTGTCTCCGATCTCAAGCGGCGCCAGGAACGGTCAGCTCGTCTGCATAGAGGACAGAGTATGTCACTATATCCTTCCGGCGTCCCAGACGATTTCCAGTATCCTATCAAGCGAGGCAGGAAGGCCAAAGGCGAGGTCCAAGACTCGACCCTACACAGACTCGAAGCTGAAGTCCCTGCCCCTACCGAGAAGCCGTCTATCGTTTTCACTGATATCAAGAATTCGACTAATTTGTGGGAAACGTATCCATCCGCTATGAGGTCTGCCATTAAGGTTCACAACGAAATCATGCGACGACAACTCCGCAGAATCGGTGGTTACGAAGTCAAGACCGAAGGCGATGCTTTCATGGTCTCTTTTCCTACAGCCACCTCAGCACTCTTATGGTGTTTCGCCGTCCAAACACACCTGCTAACGGCAGATTGGCCCTCAGAAATTCTAAACTCTGTTTCCTGCCAAGAGGTGTACGACAATGACAATGTCCTTATCTTCAGAGGCTTATCAGTCAGAATGGGTATCCATTATGGCGAGCCAGTCGCCGAAATTGACCCTGTTACGCGTCGTATGGACTACTTTGGTCCGATGGTGAATAAAGCGTCTCGTATATCCTCCGTAGCCGATGGGGGTCAGATTACTGTGTCCACTGATTTTATCTCCGAGATTCAGCGTTGCCTTGAGACCTACCAGGAAAATGAGCGAAATGGGGGTGCTGGCGGTGATGACACTTTCGATGATGACGCGACGTCGGCTGCAATTAGAAGGGAGCTGAAATCACTCAGCTCACAAGGATTCGAAGTTAAAGATATGGGTGAGCGGAAACTTAAAGGTTTAGAAAACCCTGAGGGGATTTACTCACTTTACCCACACGCTCTCGCTGGTCGCATCGAACATCATAACAATGCTCTGATGGCTGACTCTGCCGAGAAACCTGCCACACTTCAACCTGGCAGCGATCTCGGATTCGATCCGAGTCTTATCTGGTCTCTGTGGAAAGTTAGTTTACGCCTGGAGATGCTTTGTAGTTCTTTGGAAGAGATGTCCGGCAGCGGGTTGCAGCCTCCCGAGACCGAACTACTGGAGCGTATGAAGCAACGTGGTGGTGAAATGACGGAACAGTTCCTATTTAACTTTATGGAACACCAAGTGAGCCGCATAGAGGTACGTGTCTTGAGCCCAATCATTATTTCTCTTTTTATGTTTTTACTAACTGGTTGATATTAGACTTGCATCTCAACACTTACAATGCGGCATATCGCCATGGGCGGCGGCCAGATAACCTCGCTAGATGATCTCAGAACGCCAATGTCTGTCGTTCTTGACAATCTTGCCGCACAGATGGCCGAGCTTGAGCGATACAAAGCCAGATATGGCGACCTTACCACTACCGACAGCGAGGGCGAAGACCTCTCTACCGACCAAGAGTCAGACGACTGATCACCTCCGTTTTTGACTATCCTAAAAATATTGCCCCCCATTTCCATATAAGTACTTGACACTAAGATCCCACTGGCTCACGTCTTTCACCGTACTATTATCCAGCACTCTTTTTCCCACGCGCAAATGAAGAGGGCTGTAAAGTCCCTCCCTATATACAATACCTACATTTTAATGTGCTATGACGAAGATATCTCTTATGACTACTTCTGGGGGGCGAGGTTGTTTGTTTACAAGTCATGTACGGATTGTTGACTGAAACGTGGGCAACGGCGTCCTGCGACTAGCCGAGGAATCAAACGAGGAGACAACCCTTGGCGTTTAAACGCCGACGAATCACTGAGGAGGGGTTGTGAGAATGTGTGTTTTTGGAATATCCGAAAAAAAAAAAGAAAAGTTCAGGTTTAAATGAAAACCTACCTAGTTATCATTATCGCTTGGGGGGGCATGGCATTGGAATATTTTCTTAACCAGCATAACTAGCTACGCTGTCGTTGTTGCCTTGCAGACACTGCAAGTAGGCGTTTCTAAGGAGGGTTCAGGGGGAGCAGGGAGAGAAACCGGAATACGGGAAAGAAATGGGAGGATCAATTCCCTTTTTTCTTCTTTCTTTTTTTTGTCTTTCTTCCCCATTCATTGATGGTGATCGGGTGCCGTGTTGACTTCTCCACGCACTATCACACAAACTACACGAAATGGGTATGTACGGCTACTGGCTAGTAATCGTATACCCGATATGCACGCGTCAAGAGAAGACCATCCCAAGGAGGTGGTAAGCGGACTACCCGTCGATAAGGAAGGGGGTTAGCTTGCTTATTATCAGTGTATAACTGAGTTGATACTACATTTAAGTCGTCTTCCTGAATTTCCATGACGTGCAAGTTAAGACGATCTTGATTCATAAATCTAACATCGGGGTTGGGAGAGATAATAGCATGTAAAACAATATAATTAATCATATCATCGAAGCATAAGCTCTATGTATTTATCAGGTAGCTAAACATCTTTATGGACATTAGGTAGTATAGTAATAGTTAAATGCCTGAAAAATAATATCATTCAAGTACATTTTACTAGGAAGCCTGTGTGTATGTTATCTTTATTTATCTTGTTCAACTGCACACATCCGTCACTATCTAAAGGCAAGAGCTATACATAAGTACGTGCTTCGTATGAAGGATAAGAAGTTAACAAAGTGTTAAAGAGGGTACGGTAAATCACTAAATATGAGAGTCTACGGGAAAGTTGGATAACGGAAATGAGAAGGAAAAGAAAAGGGGATGTGAACATGGACGACTTGACAGAGCGGACAGAATAGAACAAACGGGGACTGGCCCCTGAAAAGGGCCAAAAAGGAAAAATAAAAATAAAAATAAAAATAAAAATAAAAATAAAAATAAAAATAAAAATAAAAATAAAAATAAAAATAAATCAAACGGCCGTGAGCTGGAAGTGAACCCAAGGCCTCTACCGTAATAAAAAAAAAAAAATCAAAAAAAGAAGAGATTTTTGCATCCGCCGGGATTTGCACCCGGGTCTTTCCTTTTACCACTCGGCCACCGAGGAGAATGGGAGAGGAATAAGTTAACTACTACTCCACGGATGCTTTGTTCTGGCTTGTTCGTTGGAAAGCATGTCTGCTATTAGACCTTATAAGGGATTCTATCTGAAGTTTGGTAAGGCAAGGTCAGGTAGGTACGCTTGCCTCTTGGGAGGCAGGTGCATAGGTGGGTGGGCAATGGGAAGGCGTTCACCATGGTGGTGAACTTACGTCGTCTACCCAAGGTAAGTAAGGAAAGAACGCGTCGGGACGCAATACACGCGTTTGAGGAGCTACCTTGAGTACCTTCTGGCTTTAAGGTATCTCATTAGGTAGCTTAAAGTCTGTATAAGATTGCTAAGGTAAACTGCATCCTACCTATACATTTACATTACATTTACATTACATACATACATGTACGCCACGTCACGTACTAATGTACCAAATGCACGGGTACTTGCTTAAGGGGTAAACCAGCCTGCTTAATATTTTATGCTAGATAGGTAGGTACCTAGGCATTTGGGCAACGGCAACTCCGTTCACATACAGACATAACCGGCAAATAATTGAGATATAATCCGCTTTGGCTATTCCTCTTATTAATGATTTCATTTCGCTTGCATAATGAACGATGCTGTGCAAAGTAGACCTGGCTACCTAATAGAATACAAGGCTGTAAAGGGTATATTGTTATGCATCGCTTACATCAAAAAACTGCCATATTACCCCCTATCGCGATATATTCATATAAATTGCCCAATCGGGTACTGTCGGGCCTCATCTTGATGGATCCAGTCCACCCCTTCCCCAAATCTTGCATCTTGCTTGCCTCTCCATCCCCTCAGCCTTGCCACGTCACTCCGAAACTAACATATATCCAAACGCGACTCTCCCATGCCATACAGTACAACCAATGCCCCAAAGCTAGCGGGGCCCCTTTACACATCTGGGCAAAGAAAAGAGACCAGAATATCCAGCCCTTGGAACCACTACCTCCTTGACATACGCGAGAGGCACACAATCCAGTCCAAAAAAAAATGCCCCGTAAATCTTCATAAATGCTTCGAGAGGAATAAATCGTGCAAAAAAACATCCAAAACCCAAAAAATGATATCTGCGATCAATTGTGATAGCATCTCTGCTGATTAAGCCTCGAGCTCCTCAAGAGCCGGTAAGCTTCCTCCACCAACTGCTTCGAGGCGTTGAGTCTGTGAAGAAAGACTCCCGCGGGCCACCCCTAGCACCATTTTTGTCACCACTGCCATCTGAACCACCCAAGCGACGGTCTCGACGATGGTCTCGTTGGTCTCGTTGGTCGCGTTGGTCGCGTTCATCGTGACGTGCGCGACGGCGTCGTCGATCATCCTCCGCTTCTGCATCAACTTCCCCATACTTCGCGCGGCGACGTGCTCGTCGTGCTGCACGACGGGCCTCTTCATCATCTTCAGGAGGCGCATCAGTAGTGGGGCCATCCTCAGGAGGTGATCCAGCATCTAAATGTTCCTTCACCCACGAATCTGTACCTGAATGAGGCCAAACCTGAGCTTTGTTTCGCCTTCGATCACGGTCGCGATCGCGATCATCTATAGCATGCCGTGAAGACCTTTCCTGGGGATAGACATAATCGTCTGCAGGCATAGTACGCCTTCGAGCAGCCTTTTCTTCCGCACGCCTCGCCTCGTGTCTCCTCCGCCGGCGTTCTTCTTCGTCCTCTGAGGCTTCAGCATGGCGTGCTCGCCGTCGTTCGGCTCTGGCAGCGCGACGGGCTTCCGCTTCCATCTCCTCGGCGGCAGCGGCTTCCTTTTCGAGCCTACGAAGCCGACGTCGCTCGGCTCTTTCGGCTTCTTTCGCTTCGACAGCGAGGCGCTCTGCTTCGCGTTCTCGGGCGGCCCTACGCTCAGCCCGTCGCGCCTCGCGTTCGGCTTGTTTGCGAGATTCGGCTTCCTCTTCATATCTCCTTCGCCTCTCGCGCCTTTCTTCCTCTTTCGCAAGACGTGCCTCTTCTGCCGCTTTCTCTTCGGCTCTTCTTGCACGGCGGGCCGCGCGACGGGCTTCTCTTTCGTCGTCTATGGCTTCTGCGTCGACGATGTGGTAATCCCTGGTAGACCGCCTAACCCTCTTATCAGGACGAACTTCATCGTCCGTGGTATGGTATGTACTGCGACGGCGTGGCTCGGGACGTGGCTCGGGGCGAGGAGCAGAGGACATGAGTCCTCCAAAGAGACCAGCAATGCCTTTCTTGGCACTCGAACCCGATCGCTTGAGGGGTACCGCATCGGCAGGGTTTCCTGTATCAAACACGACGGCGTCGTCCTCGGTCTTAAACTGGTTTGGGTCAGCGTAAAGAAAATTCGTGTAGCAGCGTGTTCCTACCTTCGGCCGTTTACGAGCCGACTTTTCAGGGCTCGAAGGGATGTTTCCAGCTCCAGTCATGACAATGTCCTCATCATCTAAGGGGGGTGCCATGGAAACCTTGCGACTGCGGCTCTTTTGGCTTTTGTCAACGCCAAAGACTTTGGCAGCCTTGGAGGACATCACTGGGATTTCTTCGGGAGGAGGGGATACGAAACCGTTTGCCATGTCGACCGAATGACGACGCGAAGTCAACTTACTCGTACTGTAGTGTTTGTCACGGGTCGACATAGAGCGCGAGATTGGAGGGGTACTTTGAAATACACTGTTCATACGTGGTTTGGTAATCGGCGGCGATTTCATGTCTGGGTGCTCCTCGGAGTTATTGTCCCTATCTGATGACGATCCTTTGGAAGAAGATGACTTCTCCTTCTCCTTCTCTTTTCGGGATCTCTTTTCTTCAGACCTAGGCTTAGATCTCCTCTCCTCTTTATGGGGTGTTGCTGACCACATTCCCCATGATGCGCCACCATTATCACGGCTAATCTTGGGCCGGTCTCTTCTAGAAGACTTAACTTCGGGTGGCGGTGTCGGGGGTCCGTCGGGAACAGCTGGAGGAGGGATTGGCACTTCGGGAGGAGGTGGTGGAATAGGAACCTCAGGTGGTGGAGGAGGTACCTCGACGGCCTTGGATTTGCTCTTCTTACTGCTCTTCTTTTTCTTCTGTACAGGCGCCATGTCGATGATATCGATAATTTCGTTCTCGTCCTCTTCGGGGAAACCCCCGGGGAGTATGTCTTTAGAGGAACTGAATTTGTCACCTTCCTCGACGGGTGGTGCGACACGAACACGTGGCGGCGGCGCAGCCAGCCCGTCAATCAGATCATCGTCTTCTTCCTCTTTGGCCGGCTCAAATTTCCTAAGCTTTTCGGCAAGCTTACCGCTCTTGGCCTTAGCCTTCTTTGGCCTCATCCAGTCATCATCGGTTGTGGGTGCCTTTGAGGACGATGGTGCATCCTCAACGGGGGGTTCTTCCGGAAGCTTTGATGACTCAGCATATCTGCTCTCATACCCTCCCCAAATCTTTGCTGTTTTAGAGCTACTTACTGGTTCCGGTGACGAGCTTTTTGCTCTAGCACCCCAAAATGAGAATGGATCGGATTTTGGCTTCTCAACCTTGGGTTTAGGCTGAGGTTGTACCTTGGGAGCTGAAAAGCCAGACAAAAGTTCGTCGATTTGTTCGGGTGCAAGGTCGATATTATCGAGATCCAGATCATCGTCGTCGTCCCTACTATTGTCCCATTTCTTTTTCTTTTCTTCTTCCTCCTGCTCTATTTGCCTTTCCTCGTTTTCTTTTTCTTCTCTTTCTCTCTCCTCTCTTTCCCTTTCCCTCTCCTTCTCGCGCTCTCTCTCCTTCTCCTTTTCTTTCTTAGACAACTTATCCTTAGTACTACTAGACTTGGACTTCTTATCCTCGGATTTGGAGCTCTTCTTCGATTTTTTCTTGGCTGCTGCCTCTGCTTCCTCGCGTTCGCGCCTGGCTTGCCTGTCGGCCTCACGAGCTTCCTCCTCCTCCGCTTCGCGCGCCGCCTGTTCCTGAGCTTCTCGTTCTCGCTGTTCTTCAGCTTCAGCCTGTTCATCTGCGTCTTGCGTTTCTTCTGCATCCGGTGCTTCTTGGTCCTGACCTTCATTAGATGCTTTCGCGTCGGCACGCGCTTGGGCTCTCTCGGTAAGCTCATCAAGCCTCATCTGTTCTGCTGTCTTAAGCTTCTTCTTCTTCTTGCTTTTAGCTGTCAGTGCAGCAAGCTCGGCTTCCTCTTCAGCGATTTCCTCGGCAAGTGCTTGAGCTGCAGCTTGGTCTTCAGCCTCTTGAGCTTCCGCCGTTGCTTTCTGCTCCGCTTCCTCGGCTTCCGCCGCAGCTGCTTCCTCGGCTTCTTTCCGGGCGAGCTCCTTAGCTTCTTTAGCAGCCTTCTCTTTAGCGCGACGTTTGGCGTTCGCAGTGAGTTCGTCGAATCTTTTCTGGCTATGCTTAGAAAGCTTCTTTCTCTTGTTCTTAGCTGTTAAAGCCGCCAGCTCCTCTTCTTCAGCGGCAATCTGATTCGCCAATTCCTCGGCTGCTCTCCTTCCCCCCTCATCTTCTCCTGTCTTGGCATCGTCCCAGACGTTCTCTTCCAGTTCTTGGCCTGACATGCTCATTTCTAATGAAGGTGGCGTAGGTGCTGGTGGCGGAGATTTTTTCTTGCCTTTGCTTAAACTTCCCCAGCCCCAGTCATCGTCATCCAAATTACCGCCCCTACTCTCTTCCACCGAGTCAGGTTTGAGGCTGTTAAGATGAGGCTCATTTTCGATTTCAACCGGAATGTTCTTGCTGCCTTTCTTCCTTTTCTCTTTCTTCGAGCTGCTTGCCCAAGGGTCGTCATTTTTAGGCTCTTCGATAGAGTCTGGCATCAGGCTATTTTCATTTCTTTTCTTCTTAGTCGTAAGACTGTCCCAGAACTCATCACCTTCAGGTGCAGCGGACGACAGCCCCGAGCCTTCGTGCTCCGATTCCGTTTTGACTTCGACTAGAGCTGTGGAGGCTTTAATTTTTTTCTTGCCCCAATCTAGCCAACCTTCGTGCCCTTCTTCGATGGGAGATTCCTCCTTCACTTTCTTGGTGGGCTTCTTAGTTGCACCCCAAAAACTCCAAGCGCTCGACTGCTCAGTAGATGAAG